AAAATTGTGTTCCTCTTGTATTGTGTGATGAAATCAATACCAAAAAGAAAAATGTTTTGAAATATTCACTTTGATTTAATTAGCATCCTCCTACAAGAATTTGGGTAACCATATGAAGAACTTAATATACACTGCCATATCTTTTTTTGCACTAGATGTAATAACTCAAAACTACATATACACTCACACAGGATTATTCAAAAAAAGTACAATTTTTCACATTTTAAAAACATTTATCATCACTTTTATTATATTCTTTTCTATCAGCATAATCTACTTCAGAACTTATAATGCATCAGTTATAAATCAGGTGTAAAATTATTTGGTGTAATGAGGGTTGCCAAATTATGATCTGTGGACCAACTTCATTTAACAAATAATATTTCTTCACACTAAGGTCAGAAAAAGTGTTTTTAAAAAACTTTTTATTTAACAGCTCTGTTTACAAAAACTCTGAAATTATTTTCTAAGTAAATTACATGAGAAAAAGTGGAGATTAATCCTTGTTAAAATACGATACTTGTTATCTTGTTTAACAACTTTCTGGTGTCCCATAAAACTGAAATAAAATATTTAGATTTGTGATTCACGTAAGCACTGTGGTTAGGAAAAACAAGGGAAGGCAATAACAAACAGCAGACAGAATTAGGATGAAATCCAGAAATATTGTAAGCTAGAAAAACAAACAAGAGACTCTAACGTAAAGCACTGAGAAAAACTGTAGGGAAGAGGAAGAATTCCCACCAGTGGGCAATAAGCAAAAGACCTGCCCAAATTGCAGACCTCCAAAGATCCACAGGTATGTATCATCAGGTGGCACTCAAAAATAAATAAATAAATAAAATCCAAGACATGAAATCCACATGCTTCACTACCCATATATGCAAGAGAAGGAGTCATAGGCAAACCTGAGGACTCCCTCTCTACACTGCTTAAGCAAGGTAACTTTGTCTCAGAGTCATGACAGAACCTCCTTGGTGGAAGAGATAGGCTAGCTGGAGCTCAACTGCAAAACTGAAAGCTAAAATCACCAAAAGAGTAGCCAAAGAGCTGATAGTGATGTCTGCTGCAGTGACAGCAGATGCCAGGGCCTGCAACACAAACTCTCTGAACTCCAGTTACAGAAGGGACATAAGTTGCCCATGCTAAAACAGAAAATTGTGAAGATAAGGCAACTGGGATCAAAACTATATTCTCTTGATTGTTTTGCCCAACTCCATAATGTTCAAATTAGTTGTCATTAGCCACTTCCTTGGAATTTATTTTTCATGGTAATCCAACAAAGGTAGAGGGAGACATGCAACCTGGGCAGTCCTCTGCTCCTTTACCAGGAAGAGGTGAGGGCAGCCCCCACATCAGCATACTAGCCTTCAGGTAAACAATGCTCTGAACTCAACCCACAGGGAAAGCAGGACAAGACTAAACCCTTAGCAGACTCCACCACTCTAACTTCTTCCAAATTCAAACAGGTAAATCAAATAAACAAATGTAAATCTATTTTCCCATGAAGAGAACTGAAAAAACAAGCCTGTATTCTACAAATTCAACTTCTTTCCCTCATCAAGGAAGAAATGACTGGGGTATATTTCATTATATAATTGTATTTGTTGTACTTGTAGAATTGATATTTGGTTTTTTTAAATTATTTTTCTGTTTTGATCATTCTTTTTTCCTGTCATACCCGTTTTATTCTGTTTTCTCTCTCTCTCCATCATTCTAGTTTTTTCTCTATTCCCACCCCAAGTTCTTTTCCTCTCCTTCTTATGTTGTTCCTTTTCTTCTTTTTCCTTTCTCCATCCCTCCACCATTTTTAGTAGCTGTTCATACTTTTAGATCTACTAACTTTTAAACTCCTAGTGAGACTGGAAGCTAGGAGTTAAGGACCTGTTAAATAGGTTAAGGAAAGGGGGACTCAATGGGATCTACCATTGGCCCAGAGGCAAGATAAACAGGGTATGGAGAATCTTGAAACCACTCCATGCACCTTGAAATTGCTGCAGCTTGTAGACTATGCATGATTGAATCCCAGGAACAATCAGAGATGGACAGAAAAGCATGCATGGCGTATAATTCCAATGAGCCAATGTTATTGGGATACAGTGGGTTTCCCTTCATCAGGGACAAAAGAATCTTTATAAAATCCCTAGACAAAGGAACCATGACCTGAGACCTTTCTGAGACCTTTCCACCTTTCTGAGACAAAGTTCCCTCCGCATGGGGCTTTTCTTCTCTACTTAATATACCTCTGCTCTTTTGCTCACCTTGCTGCCTGTGACTTTCATTCTTCAATTTCATGATACCGAGTTCCAAGACAACCATATTACTAATGGGTTTTTAGGTATTCTAGTTTTTTTCGTTTCAAACCCCATTGGGGTGTACATGATCTCCAATTTTTTAATTTTATATTTAAATATCTGTTGTGTTTTTGAAATTGTTGATATTCATCCCACTTGTTTTGTCCTCTTTGAGTGACAGTATGGATTGTGACCTCAAACGAAGCATCTCCACTAAGAAGACTCCAACAAAAATTAATTAATTATATATATATAAAACAAAGAGACATTCATACCTAATGAAGCACAAATCAAAATGAAGAAAATGTTGAAATACGAGAAATCAAGGCACTATGACCCCTCCCTCTAGAAGTTCAGCCCTGCATAATAAATGAATGCAAAAATACTGAAACAGGCTGAAATGCCAGAGAATTCAAAATTAAACTTTTAAAAATGATCAATTTCTTGAGCAAGGATTCAAACAAGCTGGTTAATAAAGTAAGGAAGTCAGTTCACAAACTGAATAAAAATGTCAGGAACATGGATGAAAAATTCAGCAAGGATATTGAGATTGTGAAAAAAAATGGAATTGTTGAGAATGAAAAATTCAATAAACATCAATAATAAGACAAAATACAGGAATATGACAAGATGCCCATTCTTGTTACTCTTATAAAGTATAGTGTTTGAACTGTTAGCTAGATCAATAAGGAAGAGAAAGAAAGAAATGGAATCCAATTAGAAGTGGAAGATATCAAATTATCCTTATTTGCAGATGATGTAACCCAAAAGACCCCAAAGACTCCTCAGGAAAACTTGTAGCCCTGATAAACACTTTCAGCAAAGCAGCAGGATAGAAAATCCTGCTTTTTTATATTTTCAATATACAAAATCTATAGCTTCCCTACACAAAAACAATCAGCATGCTGTGAAAGAAAACAGGAAAATAATTCCAATCACCATAGCCTCAGAAAATGAAATAAGTCCAGGCAGGTAACAGTCATCTGATTTCTCATAAAGGTTTCCAAAATACACATTGGAGCAACAACATCTTCAACAAATATTTCTGGAAAAATGAGATATCCATCAATACAAGACTGTAACTAGACACTTGCCTCTCACCCTATACAAAAATCAATTCAAAGTGGATCAAAGATTACTAGGCATTGTTTTTCTTAGAATTTATTCATCAAACTTTATCAACTACATTTAAAATATTAATTATTTAATTTTTGCTTTCATATATTTTTATCATTTTCTTTGGATGACTCAGATTGTATTCACTTAGCTTCCAATTTTGTTTTGCATTGTTAAAATAGAAATCTAAAACTTTCAAGAATATCTTCAACAAATATATATCTATAATAACTCTTGGGCATGTTATTTCTTCAAGATTATATTTCATTAAATGAGTTTGTAAAATCACTGCAGGGTATTTTATTTTACAGCAAATGGAAGAAATATCAATTTTTAAAGAACTGATATAACAATAGAAGCATCATTTGGTGACAGTAGATGTCTACTCTGAACTGGCAGGATACAGACTTGACTCCAGATGATTAAAATAAAATTAAAAAACTTAAGAGAACACTAGATATATTATTCTCCTAGGATTATCTTAATTAATTACCCCAAATTGGGGGACTAATTAGTACAAAATTAGGCTCGCACAGTCATTAAAGCTAATATCCACAAAAAGTGTTGTTAGGCCACTTTTCTTCCACAAAGCCTTTAGGGGAGAATCATTCCTTGCCTCCCCAGCTTTTGGTGGCTCTTGACCTTCCTTGGTTGGTGGCTGAATCACTCCAGTTTTTATCTTCTTCTTCACAAGATGTTTTTTTCTCTTTGTTTATGCTTCCTTTTCCCTCCTCCCTGTTTTTCTAAATTTCTTCTGCCTACTGCTTCTTCTGGAGACAGTGATCACTGGATTTGTTTCCCATCCTAAACTATGATGATCTCTTCTCCAAATCCTTACATCATTTTCAAATAAGGTCACAGCAATTTCTAGATGGAGATATTTTTGAAGACGCAGCATTCAAATTATGTAAATAAGTATGAATATTCTAAGGCAAAAGTTGTAGGACGCTTAATATTAATCATATAGTAACAAAGAAAGCAGAAGCTATCTTGGGACTGAGTAATGTTCCAGAGAACAGTGAACTATGAGAGAGTAAATTATAGCACACACACATGATAGGTAGTTTTAGAAGGACATGGATAGATATAAAGACAGAAATTGAAAATTGCAAAAAATAAAAAATTGTAACGGGAAACAAGAAGACTAGATATCCCTGCTTTCCCCAGTTTACTTGGTTCTGCTACTTTTTCAAAATCTAAATCACAGTATTGCATCAGAGAGGGGCAACAAATATATCTGGAGGATATGATGAACACAGGAAAATCACCCCAGAACACAACACCAACCCCTGGTTATATGATACTCGTTATCTTTCCTTGTGCTGCTGAAGCTATCTTTTAACTCCATTGTTAACAACAAGAGGAAAGGGTGATTTTAGAAAGTAGATCTTTGCAATTGAGTGAATTTGTACTCTGATTATATAGAAGTACTTAAATAAACTATAAAGCAAATGCCCCTTGACTTAATATAGGTAGTTGCAATATTGTTTATTATATTGAAGCACAGAGGAACAAGGTAAACATTCTTTTCTGTTGAAGCAACACAATAAACTTACAACCAAATACTTTTTGTAATTTGATGTGTTTGCCTCATGCTAATAACTTAGCTAGAAGTTTTCTCAGTGCTACAATGATATCCTTGTTCCTCAGAGTGTAGATAATGGGATTCAAAGTTGGGATCAAAATGGTGTAGAAAAGAGACAGCAGCTTTCCCATTCCTTCATATTGATTTGGTTTGGGTTCTAAATAAGTGATACTCGCAGTTCCATAGAAGAGAATGACAACTGTGAGGTGAGATGAGCAAGTGGAAAAAGCTTTAGCCCTTCCTCTGGCTGACGTCAATTTCAGAATGTTGGAGATAATTTTACCATAGGAAACAATGATCAACAGAAAGGGAATTATCACAAAAAACACCACAGCAATATATACTGCTATCTTGTTTACAAATGCCTCACCACAAACAAGCTTGAGGACTGGGGGGATGTCACAGAAGAAGTGATTAATTCTGTTAGACCCACAAAAAGGCAAAGAGAAAATCTGGTATGTTTGACCAATCACAACTGGAATTACACTGATCCAGGAGGCAGCCACCATCTGCACACAGACCTGTTGGTTCATGACTATAGTATAATTCAGAGGGTTACCGATGGCCACATAGCGGTCATAGGCCATCACTGTCAGCAGGAAGAACTCCACACCTCCCAGCATAAGGACAAAACACATTTGTGCAGCACAGGACAAAAAGGAAATATTTCCTTTTTGGGTACAAAGGTCTACAAGCATTCTTGGGATAGTGACTGTTACATAACAGATTTCTAGAAATGAAAAATTTCTAAGGAAAAAATACATAGGTGTCTGAAGAGCAGGGTCAATTTTTGTTATCAATATTATAATGCTGTTACAAATCAGAATAGTCATGTATATGAGTGAAAATATTCCAAAAAGAATCCACTGGAGCTGGGGAATATCAGAAAACCCCAAGAGAACAAATTCTGTAATCGTAGTGGTGTTTGATTTTTCTGTTTTAGTTTGCTGTCCATCTGCAGATACAATATATCCAATATGGTTAATTCATTCATGTTTTAAAATGAATTCAACTTTCATGCTACCTGCACTAGATTCATGGATCTCTTCATAAGATATCTTAAATTATTTCCACTATTACCATGCTTCATTTTGATAATATGAGATTTGAAACTTCAAAACGAAGTGATATGTTGTTAAAATGAGTTTAAGAAATGAAATCTACTATAAATTATTGAATTAGCTATAACTTTACCAAGAATATTGAAAGATGTACACTATTATTTATTGTGGAAGAATAATATCTTCTTTCGTTACCTTAATGGTGGAATTTTGTTTACAGGCATTTTCTATGTTTTTTGTGCTCTTATAATTTTTTTCTATATCGGTGGTGATACCTATTTTCTTTCACGCCAAAGGTTAACCTTAAAGCTCTTCTTCAATTCTCATTCAAAATGATTTTTAAGTCCCCTTCCCTGTTTTCCAGTGAGAATCAAGTTTTAAATCAATTCATTATAAGTGAGGAAATAATTACATGCATTGAATGGTCTATTTATCTCCATAATTATATATGTTGTATATGAAAAAGATTAATCCTAGAATGCTACTCATTAAGTCTCTCCCTTAACAACTACAATAGAGCATAACAAAATATGAATTAGTATTTAAGTTGATTAAAAAGTATGACCTATTCCTCATATTTTATCTTACATCTCCCTTCGTGTTCATTGAGCTTGTTTATCATATAATTACCAAGCAAGCACAAATACCTTTCTCTGGTTTCCTTTCACAATGATGTATAATAAAAGTGCATCTTTGACTAAATCCAACTGTTTATGAGTTACTCCAGCCATGTAAGTGAACAGAGAACACGACTGTCATTTAAACATAAGACAGACAAAAGAAACCTCTCTTTGATCATTTATTTTAATATCCAATATGAAGACAACTCTGCTTGACAATTCCCATTACACTTTCATAGTGTTTGTTTTCTAAATTCCCAAAAATATTTTGTGCATTTTCCAATCTTCTCAAATCTATTATACCTCAGAGCCCCATCAGGTGATGCTTTTCAAATAAATATTCATACTAAATTGGATCAGAAACATATTCTCTCATACTCCTATGTTTAGGAGTATATGAATATTACCTGAAATAAATAATTTAATTATTGATGTCATTGCTGTCATTTGAAAAGTCTACTTTGATAGTGAGATATACATAAGTTATAGTAAATAGCTATTTTTAGATAATGATCTCTTAATTTCTGTTTTAATTGATGTTGATCCTCAAGTTAGGGCTATCCTTAAATAAAACAGTGCAATGGCATAATTAAAACTTACCTTCATAGACTTGCATGAAATAGTTTCAGTGTGTTTCTTTTAACTTAAAACATTTATCACCTCTGCTTTGTCTTTTATTTAAGAGCAGTTGATATTTGAAGCAAGCAAAAATATTGTAAGACTAGTCATATGCACCTTGGGGAAAATCTTCTCTTGTGCATGAATTTAATTTATAGAAGACTGATTTTGTTCCTAATGAGTTTCTAGAGAGAAATCTGAACTATTCAAATTTGTCTTAATATGTTATTGTCAATTTCTTTGGCTGTTGTTTTTGTTTTCACACTTTCACCATAAGATATGTTTTTGGCACTACTGTGTATGTATTTTGCCATTTTTTTGAGCTTATTTAATTTTGACCTATATGATGCAATGGAATAGATTAATGAATTTTCAAATGTTAAGCTAACCTTGCATAACAGGGATAAATATTACTTGTCATGGTTTAGAATTCTACTTCTACATTATTGGAATCACTTTTAATTTATATCTATGTGTGTGTGTTTCTTGAAATATTTGTTCATACTTTCAATGGTTTATTGACACCACTGTCTACTAAATCCATTATTCCATTCAGTTATGGTTCTGCTTTTATTGTCTAAATTCCTTACTGTTTTTTTTCACATTTTCCTTCCTTGTCAAATTTCTAGCAATTTCTGGTTGGATTCTCATTGTTTTAGTTATTCTACTGTGTGTGTACATTTTATTTTATTTTTAGAGACTGTTTTGAGCACAAATGTTGCTTTAGGCCCATAGTTATATTTGGAAGTGTTTTATTCCCTAAAGATGTCTTATGAGGAAATATTTATGTTTTGGAGTGTCAGGTGGGTTTGTTGCATGTTTGTAAGGGGGTTGCCGATGTGTGAAGCAATTTATATTGGTATCACTGTAATTGACTTCACATTTTCAACACAAGCATATATTATTTAGTATTTATTGTCTTCAGTTTCATTTTATGTTATCCTTCCTCCAAATTAATCCATAAAGAAATTTTTAAAAAATAGGAAAATGAAATTTCTAAAATCCTACTACTTTGTTTTTGTAAATATTCACCTCTGGGAATTAGAGGTTAACCAATATGAGCAGCCTAATATACACTGCCATACCCCTATTTCTTACATAATAATGTGGAACTGCAAAAACAGTCATTTAGATAAGATTACAAAGAGCAAGAACAATTTTCCCATATTAAAAGTATTTTATTTTTTTTTATACTAATCATTGATATATTATTTCCTCTTCTAACAGCTTTTTTCCTTTAGAACTATTTTGATATATGTCAACAGTTTGTACAGGTGAAACATTTTGGGGTTGCCAAATTATGATCCACAGGCCAGATCCAATTAATGAAAATATGTTTTCTAATCCTGAGGTCATACAGCTGTCTTTTATCACTTCATATTATGCTCTTCAATTATCAGTCTGCACTGTTCTGTAAACATCATCCTACTTTCTTAAGATTGCTCTCCAATATTTCAAACCAAATATGTAAGCATTTTTCTTTCTATGTGTGAAAAAATGTGACCTTTGACTTTTTAATGGTTGGGTTATCTCACTTAACATAATGATCTCTAGTCAGTTCAATCCATTTTCCTGCAAATAACATGATTTTAATCTTCTTTATGGCTGAATAACACTCTGTTATGTATGTATGTCACAGTTTCTTTATCCATTTACTGTTTATTGGGCACGTAGGCTGATTGTATGGCTTGGCTCTTGTGAATAGTGTTGCAATAAGTGTTGGTTTGTAGATAGGTCTCTTGTAGGTTGATGTGTTCTCCTTTGGATATATGCCCAAGAGTGGTATAGCAGGCAGGACAAGTTTTCATTTTTTGATGAACCACCATATTGATTTACATAATAGTTGCACTAGTTTACATTCCTAACCAGAGAGTATAAAGGTTTCCACCTCCCTCCTTTCTGCACCTGCATCCTCACTAGCATTTGTCTTTGTTTGTTCTCTTGATAGGCATTCCAACTGGGGTGAAATGGAATCTCAATTTCATTTCTGCTTACATTTCCTTTATGGCAGGGGAATATTTCCTCATTATTTATTAGTCATTTGTACTTCCAAGAACACTTAAAGTATTTATTCAGCTATTAAAAATTATGAAACATCTATACCATTTGAAAATAAAAGCAAGTTGCTTTTGAAATAGCCTGGGTCCTTTATAAATGGTGTAGTTCCTACCTTTCAGTGGGCGTGTCTTTTCTTTCTGTTCACACCTAAATTTCCAAAGAAATGGTTCTCTTTGTAATTATTTTAATGTGTTTTTCTTAATAAAATTTTCCTGATAGATGAGACTTTCCTACAGTCTCTCCGTGGAATATAATTTCATGTTCTCATTTTTTTCCAAATACTGAAAGAATACCGTGATGTCCTATAAGAAGATATACTCATAATTGTTCCATATTGCCTGCAGGAAATTTGACTTCTCTATTGATTTTTTGTGTGTATTTTGTTTTCTGTAATTCTTCTAAATAAAACTTTTAAGCAAGTTGTGCCTCTTGTTAATATTCTCTGAACATTCTCATCTTATTTTCTGTCAATTTCATCTCACAGAAACTAAAATTCCTTTGTTCAATAAATTATGATGTTCTTCCAGGAACAACGAGACCCCATGAAAGGACAAACATAGCTTTGTGCTTCCATATCTACTTGATTTTGTTTTGAGAGTGGAGATTTTCCAAACTTGTGTTTTGCTCGGCTTCATTACATTAAGGGAACACACTTCTCCCAACTTTCATTATATGTACCCCAAGTTGCATTTTTTATATATATATATATATATATATATATATATATATATATATATATATAATTTCTAACAGTGGGAGAGATTCCACTGAAATTGAAAAAAATATTTTTATAATGCTGAACATGTTTTCTTAAAGATAAAATGGGTAAAATAGAGATACTGCTAGCAGAAAATGTGACTACCTGATAAGTTTTCAATTGTACTAGTATTTATGCATACATTCCCACTCTCCATTTCCTTGGCAATGTATCTTGGTTTTGGCCAGTATCTACTTTATATTCTTCTACACTTACTATTATGATCACTTTCTTAAATTGTGTATTTTCCTTATTCCTTCCTCTTTCATTTTTTCTTTTGTCCATCCTTACACGTACAAAAATATATTAACAACTTGTTTTTTTAAATGTGTAACTTTTTCACAAAAGTTACGTATTTACTTTCAACCACATCATCACTATGTATATTTACTTACAGTGCATCTTAATATGTCTTCATATAATTGACTTATGCTTTGATTTCTATGGTGAATTGCAATGCTTGGCGCATTCGCACTTAATGTCATTGTGATATAATTTAATTTAGTCTATCTTCTTGCTTCAATTTTTCTTTCTCTTACATTCATTTTTTTCTTCTGATAATTTTTGCCTTTATTTCATAGCGTTATGAATTCCATGGGTTTTCCCTATATATGTACCACCTTCAGTTAACATCTCAGAAAGTGTTTGAGAATTGACAATTTAAGTATGCACTTTTAACATACTGAATGTTTGTACACTTGGAATTACACTACTTTATAATTTCTTCCTTTAAAATGAGGTTTTGTTAACCTTTCCAATTACCCACTGTACATCTTAGGCTTCATATATGTAATAATTTTATAACAAGCTAATCTCCTTTCTGATTTCATTCTCTATGCTTTTGTTATCATATATTTTACTTG